TTTTGATTTCTAATTAATATACAGTCACAAAAGATTGATTATTTTTCAAGTTCACGGTTACTTATCAGGATATAACTATATTGTATGGTTGAACATTTTTCATTTTGACGGTAACCGCTACGTTAGTTCAGTCGATCAGCTAAAAATCTTTCCTGGATTTGTTTGGTACTTTAGGAGTCTCTTAGTAAACTTAAAATTCATCTACGTATCTGTTTATACCCATAAACTGAGTTTTAGTACTATTTGTTATTAGTAAAATATACTGTTTGTGTACCTAGCATCTTTTGAGATCATTTTTGCCAAAAAAATTAAGATATTCAACGTTTAGTGGGGATGGAAATTTATTCATTTGTATAAAGTATATGTGCCCGAACTTGCAATAAGTCATTCATACTTATTTATGTAAAATATTTCAAAAACTGACGTGGTCATATATATCCTATTCAAAATTATCGCACGATAAGTATTAATATGTTAGGCTAAGATACTTTATATTTGCCTTATATTCTGTCCTAATCACTTAAAATGACAGATAATTATTGAGACACTGAGAACCTAAGTAAACTACCTTCTACTATGCATTAAAAAGACTATACTTCTTTCTTTAAATAGATTAAACTCTGATAAGTTAACTGTCATTCACGTTATTCAATCAAATTCCATATTAAAAATAGCCTTCGGATAATCAAGAAATTACTTTGGATGAGCCAGTTATGTCTTTTGACATGAGATTATTGAGGCATTAATTATATCATGAAAAACGACTTTATCAGTATAGAAGATATGGAGATTTTTAAATATTGTTGAGATCACGAACCGATCCAAGTCATAAAACCACTGAAGGCCTGAAAGCTCGGTACTTTCAACACGTAGCATATATTTTATCTAATATACGTTTAACTTTTCCAATAGCAATATTGTAGAAGATATATTTGACTGTATGTCTGACAACTAGCTGTTTCACTTCGCTCTCGAATTTATCTGCTATGTAAAATATAATTACCTCATCTCCTATTTGTTTTCTCCACTCAACACTGTTTGATATATGGTGAGTCAGTAGTATGGTGAATTCATTGAAAACTAATATTTCTGTATTACCTATAAGTCCATACTTCCTATCAATTTTTATTTGATCACAACTAAAAGCTCTGTCATTCATTTAAGTCAAGTTTTCATTTCCACTTTATATCCCATATAATTAGCTTCACTTTTTTAAACATTATTTCAATTCAGCCAATCACCTAATTAGATTTTATCGAGCAATCTTCAGCTGTTACTTCAATCATAACGGTTTGCATATGTTTCTTCTACTTTTTAATAGTATGGTCTGTTTCATCTACTCTAATCACCAGTAAATTTAAAGTTGTTATAAATACTCTTCATTAGTGAACAAATGACCCTATTGGGCCTACATATAAAACTACGTTCGTAAAACATTTTAATTGTGTATTTATTTGTACCAATTATTGTGCGTGTAGAGTGATTTGAAACACACTAAACGAAATAAATTCACTTTATTCCATAATACTTGTTGCTCCTCCTTTACAAAAATGAAAATTTTTCCAAAAGCATCAGTATTCTGGTAATAAAGAATAAATTCACTCTTCTTAGTCTTTTTATTCACATATAAAGTCACTTCAGTAAGCAAACAGTGAGCATTTTAAATTGGATATTCAATATATAAGATCCAAATATTTTTGAAGTCATTCAAAAGCTAGCTAAGTTCCGAATCGTTTGGCTCATTTAGTATTATTTACTTTCTAAAATCAACTGTTGATTAAGATAACTACGTAGGTTTAGCGAAACTCAAAGTTTATTGTATTATGTAAATTTGCCGAGATAATACTACAGGCAAAAACAGGTTCAAAAATATGGAAGTAGAAAATAGCAAAACGTGCAAACATCAACTAATTACATCTTTCTGACGCCAGCCAAGTGAAGAGCAGGAAAACCAAACTAATGGTTAGATGATTACCTGTCACCACTACTAATGCTCCTTAAGCTATGTTTGAATTTAGATTTATGAGAAAGGTTACTACTTGAACCGCAAAAACAAGAATTGTGATTTTTCTTCACCACTAGTAAATGAATATCTGAAAATGTCCAAAATAAAATTTACTAGGTTTGCTTAAACGATATAACTTTGTATTGATGACGGTTCATGAGGAAAGATGAGAAATTTTCCCCAGGTTGGAGATAGAAAGCGATAATACTCGGAATCTTATTTGAGTTTTTATCCTAATCTTCTGATTTTTATGGTCATGACCTGTAACTTTCCCTTTTTTAAACTGTTTTGGTGCATTAAGACAGATGCGTCAGTATCGCTCACTCTTATTAATTGATTACTCGATTGTTAAGCATGAAACTTTGCAGTACAGACGCATTTGAACAATAACTTATCTCAAACTTCTTCGACGAACTTAACAAGTGGTGGTGCTCTAAAATCAATCCCAGTCTGAATAAAGTTACGTATACTGGTTAGGGTGATTATCATCCGTGTCCACCTGAAAAAAGTCATATAATAAAAACCCAGTAGTGATTTGAGGCATTAGATGGAAAACGATGGCGGATTATGAAATAATTACTACTAAAGGGCTATTGTTCACATGGCCCAATCATTCAGTCTTCAAAAGCTTCAGAATTTTACATTTTACACACTATACCTAACTGAACCAGAACATCATACGGAATACTAGACGTGGACCATATTTGCCGAAAGAGTGAGACGTTGGCTATTTCTAAAGTGATATATGCAACGTTAGTAGCTGAACCTTTTGTCCTCTTATTAGAGAAATGGTCACAAAGTCAAGTGATTTCTTTCATCTTATTGTCTAAAAACAATGTTAGATCAACTTTATGTCTTTCTAGAATTAATTATTTATGGAGATCAAATAATCTTACTTGAGAAAACTGGATTATAATTTTTCAGTTGTGTAGTTAACGGCTGGAGCTTCTTAATAAGTGAGGTGATATTATCCTACATGATGTTAGTGTTTCAGGGATAGTTACAATGATACCTGTCTGAAGAGCTAAAAAATTAGACAGCCTGATGTTTCTGTAGCTGAGGAACGTAACCTAGTGGTAGAGACGAGTTGGCTGCCTAATATAAATTAAGCATATTGAGCAAATATATGGAGTTCAACAATTTAGAAGCTATATGATACATCTATTTGATTTTTACCATACTTTTGATGAAAATTTCTCTTTCTTTATATTCCTAAAATAGGAGAAGGACGCCTAAGAGGAAGTATTCTGAGAACTTAATTGCTCGTCTACCTTATAAAATTCAAAACGGAAGTTGACTTGTACTGAATTTAAGATGACAGAAATCGAGTTCGTATGAGTGGTAAATAAACCCCCAAACAAATAACTTTTTAAGTCTCCAATATTGGTACTAATCTCATTAGTTTTACTGGGCACTTCCTAGCTGAAGGCACTCGGGCAAGCATACGCACCAGATTATCGTTGGATACACCGTGCTACGCATCCCTTGCAACTAGTTAGCATAGATCACTTCTGGATATATTGACTATCTTCCAGAAATATCTTCCAACCTATTTATCCATGAATTCTGGTTTGACTGGCTTTTAGACTCTCGATTATGCAAGTGTTAAGAGTAAGGTCGTTGTCAAGCACCGAATATCCGTAACATCTTTGTGCATTTATAACTGACTGATAAATAAAACTAAACATCCATAATCTTTTGGGCGAAATGAATGGATTTCGGATTTTCAGTTCTGTACATCGAATTGTTTATTGCTACTTCATTTTGATATCGCTTGACATACTTCGCGAAAAATCGTTTGAATGGTATAAACGCCCTTCTATCTCATAGCAGCATTATTCACTGATATGACAGTTGAAGCTACGTGTTTATATATACTTATGGCATTTTAATCCATAATGTCACTGGAGCTTAACAAGTATTTTAAAAACACGGACAACATTAGTAGTCATGAAAAATAAAAGATTCGATGGTTTACTTCTCATACAAATAATATATGTAACTATCACAAAATTATACCCCTGGTATATTGGTATTCTGTAGAGGAAATTACTCTCTAAAACAAATAGCTTTTTACCTATCAGATAGTCAGAATAGTGGTCTCATGTTTATATCCCTCTAGCTTTAATCAGCTTTCTTTAGTTGTAACTCCTTTCACTCTTTTTCTACCTTTCTCTGATGTGATATAAGTGAAAGAGTCTGATACCAACGTCATATGATTCTGTTGAATACAGACATCACTCGTAATAAAAACGACGATTATGTTAAACGAAAAGATCCAAACAATTCAGATTCCGTTTAGCTCTATGAAGGCACAAAGTATTCGATTTATTCAAACCACTGGGATCACTAAATGTATTTGAGTTCATTATCGAAAAATATTTTCGAATAGGAGATAAACTAAACAGACACACATGACAATGTTACAAGAACCATAATGTCAAAAACAACTTCGAAGAAGTACAAAATAAGCATTATAGAGCTTAAGACTAAGTCAATATAAAATACGTATGATTGCCAAAGTATGAGCCACACACACAAAACAACATTTGGTAAAAACTGAAAAAAGGAAATCACAACCCCGACTAAGCTCTCCTTCAAATTGGAAATCATGAGGCAGTATATACGTAGAATTTCAGAAAATATGAAAAATATGAACAGTGACAATTCACTGGCAAATAAACCTTGAGAATAAGGGAGAACAACTCCTTTTAAAATAAACAAAAAAATTTCTAAAACCGCAAATAGGACAAAGTAATATATGTTACAGAAAAGCAAAACCTGTAAGAATGAAGAGGATCGCACCAAATGAACCTTTGGGTTACCATCAAAAAGATCATCCTTCGTAGACATTTGAAAAAGTGCAGCGTCTACAGTTATTTAAACATACTTTATACAGGCTGGAAACTAAATAATATGAGATTTATTGTCAACTTCAAGTTTATCTGAGGAAATGGAATACAGTAGTTTTAAGAATAACGTATTATCACTCTAGCCGCCAATTTCAGTTTTTCTTTTACAATGGCTACCCAGGTTTGTCCCATCTTCCCCCGAAGCCTCATACTTTTGTGGCTCATTAATGACTACAAGTTAAGCTGTACTTGCTCATCACTCATAAGCTTTACCGTTTAAACTCAGATATATCCTATCTACTAACTACAGTGGTAATAACAGCATTCAACGTTGTACCTACATAGTTGTCATAACTCTTCTCTGTTATGAAACGTTACGTTTGAATTACTTGGACTACTCTACTTAATGTGTATAGTTGCTCATTTGTTGGACAAAATGTCGCAGTCCCTCTATCTTGAGGAAATTTTTGGTGTTTCCCCAAAGTCATGAGAAGTTTGTTAGTCTTCCCCGAATTTCTGAGAAAAATCCTAGTGTTGTAAAATTGTGTGAAAATATTCAATAAAACCCCAAATTCCTTCGGACCTGGGAAAATTCTGGGGGTTTTGTACCATTTCCCCAGAAGTTTTGTATTGCGGCTTCCTCAAAAGTTCCCCAAGATAGGGAGTTTGGGATATTAGGATACGATGCGTATATCTTGATGTGTGTTGTCTACATAAATTTTAAGAATGAGTTCTGTAACTTGGACTATCGGGTCCCCCTCAACAGCTTTACAACATCAATCCTTCATTCGAGATATTTTGGTGACTTTTGGGTGAACTTCAAGTAAACCCTGTCGGTTTCTGTATATGAGCATTCCATCAAGTCAAGGGAAGTGGCACCATATGTGTTACTTACTAATTTTTTGATACGGTAACTCGTTGTTTGTATCAAGTCTCTGTTTGCACCGCTAATACCGTACATCAATGGCTGTATTAGAGACATGTTTAATTGAAAGTGCAGTTTGCAACTTATTCTCTATCCGTACTATTTTAATCCCCTTACCATTTCTCAAGCTTACTATACTTACTCTAATACGGCAATTATGTAGATGGTGTCTGTGATAGCAGCGCATAACTCAAATTATTAGTTCATAATACATTTTTCCCTTCCAAATGTACGACTTTGTTTCAGAACTTACTTACGCCTGTTACTCCCAATGGAGCATAGGCCGCTGACCAGCATTCTCCAACCCACTCTGTCCTGGGCCTTCTTTTCTAGTTCCATCCAGTCCTTGTTCATTTTTCTCATGTCTATCTCCATTTCTCGGCGTAATGTGTTCTTTGGTCTTCCTCTTTTTCTTTCACCTTGAGGATTCCATGTGAGGGCTTGTCTTGTGGCGCAGTTGGGTGCTTTCCTCAATGTGTGTCCTATCCACTTCCAGCGCTTCTTCCTGATTTCTTCCTCCCCTGGGATCTGGTTTGTTCTCTCCCACAGTACGTTGTTGCTAATAGTGTCCGGCCAATGGATCTGAAGTATTTTGCGTAGACAATTGTTAATAAACACCTGTATTTTCTGGATGATGGCTTTCGTAGTTCTCCAGGTTTCTGCGCCATACAGTAGAACTGTCTTGACATTTGTATTGAAAATCCTGACCTTAGTGTTGGTTGACAGTTGCTTTGAGTTCCAGATGTTCTTCAGTTGTAAATATGCTGCTCTTGCTTTGCCGATCCGCGCCTTCACATCTGCATCAGATCCACCCTGTTCATCAATGATGCTGCCCAAATACGTAAAGGTTTTTACATCTTCCAAACCTTTTCCGTCAATTGTGATTGGATTGGTGCATTCTGTGTTGTATCGGAGAACCCTGCTTTTCCCTTTGTGTATATTGAGACCTACTGCTGCTGAGGCTGCTGCCACACTGTTCGTCTTCTCCTGCATCTGTTGTTGCGTTTGGGATAGAAGGGCCAGATCATCTGCCAAGTCTAGATCATCCAACTGCATCTTAGATGTCCATTGTATCCCGCGCTTCCCTTCAGACGTTGACGTCTTCATGATCCAGTCGATCACCAGGAGAAAGAGAAAGGGTGAGAGTAAGCAACCTTTCCTGACACCGGTCTTTACTTCGAACGAGCTTGTCAACTGTCCTCCATGCACGATTTCGCAGTTTAATCCATCATAGGAATTCTGTATAATATTGACTATCTTCTCAGGTACTCCATAGTGTCAAAGAAGCTTCCATAATGTTCTCTCCACGCCATCAAATGTTTTTTCATAGTCAATGAAGTTGATGTAGAGTGATGAATTCCATTCAATTGATTGTTCCACAATGATCCGTAGAGTTGCGATTTGGTGTGTACAGGATCTATCCTTACGGAATCCTGCCTGTTGGTCACGAAGTTGGGCGTCTGCGCAGTCCTTCATCCTGTTTAACAATACCCTGTTGAAGACTTTTCCCGGTATTGAGAGAAGAGTGATGCCCCTGTAGTTATCACACTTGCTGAGATCGCCTTTCTTCGGTATTTTGATCAGAAGTCCTTTCCAGTCTTTTGGTACTTGTTCCTCATCCCAAATCTTATTGAAGAGAATGTGGAGTATCCTTGCAGTTGCCGCTACGTCTGCTTTTAGTGCCTCTGCTGGGATGTTGTCCGGTCCTGCTGCTTTGCCACTCTTGATTTGTCTGATGGCCATGCTGATTTCTTCAATTGTTGGTGGGCCAACATTGATTGGGAGGTCCGTGGGTGCTGCTTCGATGTTGGGTGGGTTCAGTGGAGCTGGTCGATTCAAGAGTTCTTTGAAGTGTTCTACCCACCTGTTTTGTTGCTCTTCAATGTTGGTGATTACCTCGCCTTCCTTGCTTTTGACTGGTCGTTCTGGTTTGCGGCGATTTCCAGAGAGTTTCTTTGTCGTGTCATAGAATTGTCTCATGTTTCCTTCTCTTGCAGCCTTTTCCGCCGTCGTTGCTAAATCTTCCACATATTTACGTTTGTCGGTTCTGATGCTCCTCTTCACTTGTTTGTTTATTTCCTTGTATTCAGCTTGTGCCTTGGCTTTTTCTGCTCTTGTTCGGCTGGTATTGATCGCTGCCTTCTTGTTCCTTCTTTCTTGAATCTTATCCAGTGTATCAACAGTGATCCATTCCTTGTGATGGTGCTTCTTGTGACCCAGGACCTCATGACATGTTGAAGTGATTGCTTCTTTGATCCCCTTCCAGTCGCTCTCCACAGTAGTTCCTTCTCCATTGAGTAGATCATGAAAGGCCTGAAACTTGTTGCTGAGGACTATCTTGAATTTGTTGAGTTTGTTAGTATCCTGAAGAAAGGCCGTATTAAACTTTTGTGATATTGTCCGCCCCGTTGTCCAGTGTTTCTTGAGTTTCAACTTCATCTTGGCAACCAGCAAGTAATGATCTGATGCTATATCAGCTCCTCTCTTGGTTCTCACTTTCTCTATAGTCCTCCTGAACATTTTGTTGATGCAAATATGGTCGATTTGGTTTTGTGTATAGTGATCCGGTGAAGTCCATGTGGTTTTGTGTATGCGTTTATGTGGGAATATAGTGCCGCCTATGACCAGCTTATTGAAGGCACATAGATTTGCAAATCTCTCACCATTTTCGTTTCTTTCTCCAAGTCCGTGTCGTCCCATGATGTCTTCATATCCAGTGTTGTCCGTTCCAACCTTGGTATTGAAATCTCCCATCAGAATGGTCAGGTCCTTTGTTGGGCACTTCTCGATGACTGACTGCAGCCTATTGTAGAATTGATCTTTAGCGTCTTCATTGTAGTCGTTGGTAGGCGCATAGCATTGGATGATGTTCATTGAAATCCCCTCTTTGTTTTGAACGAGGCTTTGATGATCCTTGGTCCACGAGATTCCCATCCTATAAGTGCATTTTGCGCTTGTTTGGACAGCATCAATGCAACTCCTTGTGTATGTGGTGCATTTTCTTCTTCATGGCCGGAGTATAACAGGAGCTCTCCTGTAGTTAGTCGTTGTTGTCCAACTTGTGTCCAATGTGTTTCACTGATCCCAAGTACCTCTAGGTTGTATCTTCTCATTTCTGCAGCAATTTGGAAGGCTCTCCCGGTGTCCCACATTGTACGAACATTCCATGTACCTAAATAAATGGTCGCTCTGGTTGTCAGAAGGGACATCGGCCTCGTAACTTCCGAAGGAATTCGGCTTTCATCATGAGGCGTCATAATTCTTCTAAATGAAGACCTTCTGACTCCCAGGGCAGAGTTTAAAAGGTTTGAATATTTTTTTCTGGTTAGCGTTTTTTTTAGCGAGTTAGTTTTCTACGGGATGAGGCCGCTAACCCCATCCCCAACCCTCCTCCTTTATCCGGGCTTGGTACCGGCAGTAGCCCCTGGAGGGACTGGTCTAACTTAATCATACTGAGTGAGATAGTTAAGGGCGTCAGTCATTTCACTAGTCTTGAACGCCTCATCAGCCTTATTGATTAGTATCTGATGAAATATCAGTACAGATTTATCTAAGCTTGATTGGCTTGGGCCACTTGTACTGTAGTCAGTATATCCGTCTGTTATCAAAGGCACGAGTACGCTGAGTTATTTGCTTCATAGTTAACAAACGGTTTTTAAAAGAACATTCTTCAGTTGCTAGTGTTTAATCATAAATGTCTTCTGACCACTATTGGAGCACGTTTGAACTACCGAGTAAGCAATGCTGGTGTTAAACACAGTATTAGGCTAATATAACAAGTCGGTAAGACTGTTTATCTTTATCAACTGAGATGGGTGAAATACTTGTCTGTCTAACCACCGCCTACTTTGACGTCTAATGTTGGTTGGTGTAAGAGCAAATTGAGAGAGAGGCAGCCAAACCAAGATGTGGTTTCAACCCATTAAGTCATGTACTGTTGCACTGTGCCCTGTTGGGGACCACACGATTATTGTGACTAATGATCAGGGGCATTGCATGGAGCTTCAGAATCAGGATTTATATGCTCTAAGTACATAAATAGAATACTAATGTTTAATTAATCCGATACTTTAAACATTCTGACGTTCGCTCAGTTTTAGACCTTGTATCCTATCGGTGTTTCCACTTAGCAGAATCCTTTACTTTGAATCGGTCAGAGACTGTAAAAAGAGAAGATTAATCTCATAAAAGTCAAATCCAGTAAAATCGGTATGCAATAAATGAGTGTGCATAACCTGTTGAAATTACTCCCACAGTTCTTCGCATGACTCATTAAATTTGGGAAGAATACCTTAAGTAAGACAATATGCATTTTCAAGTCTGTGATTACACACTCAATGGAGGATGTAGACCCAATACTACCCTCCCTAGGTTTGAAATCTCAACCCCACAATTTTTCTGCTTCTCATCTCCGATAAAGTCTCATATGATTATGGTATCTAATGCCTCAGAAGCTACAATAAACAAACACATCTGTTTTGTAATTATCACAAGGAGTTAATATTCTTCCGAAATCGTCTGCTACTATTTTTTTTACTTCTGTACTCAATTTAATGCCTCAACACTTCCCTGACCTACTTTCCTAACAACATTCATGGTTATACATCTATAAGTCCTCCCATTTTTCATTGTTTTAAGTCTGTCATATTTTAATTGGTAAAAGCTACAATGATAGTTGACAAAACATTAAAGCTGTGCGCAAGTAGGTTGTTTCTTCATTTCTCTTAGTCTAAGACATTATTAATGCTCATCTTTTTCAGTGATGTTCTCACTGATCAGAACTAGTCATACAACTGTTTTTGGACATGGTAACAAGAATTTTTTTCTTCCTTCTTAACGAACCTCACTACGTTCCTTTCGACTTCCTTATTTCTAGAGGAAATTAGAGTAGACTGTTCTTAAAAACTACATTTTGTCTCGTTATAATCACTCAAGTGCTTAACATCCATGTCCAATAAACAATGTAGTTTCGCTCTTCAGCAGTAGTAATACAAATTATCTGATTATAAGTATATTTTCCTGGTAACCACTATTTTGTCTTAAGCATTTTAAGGTCATTGCCGTTCCTATTATGTTCAGTAATTTTACTTCATTTTAGAGCTTTTCCCCTTAGTAAATGTAATTTTACGTGGTAGAATGCTGTGTTTGATTTTATTCTTTTGAGCGTAATATTCCTCGCATATTCGTTTCCAGTCCATCTTTTTTGAATCTTGTTTTCAGTATAAACTGAGCTCCTCACAAAGAGATCGCGTAAAGAAGTTCAGTGCTATTACTCGAAGTTCTGATAAGGTTGCTATTGACTGCCTTCAGATGAGCAATTGGAGGTTAGAACAGGCCGTAGATTACTTCTACAGACAGAATCCAACTCCTCAAGGACCCACTATTAATGAGGCGAAAATTGACCATCTGTTCCAGCGTTATCGTGGTAAGCGTTAATGCGTTGAACACCTGTACTCGGTTTTCCGATGACGTTAAAACTTGAGAATGAACTATTGATTATATTTTGTGTTAAAGAACAACTGTACTCGAGTCATTATAAGCAAAGATGGATGGTGGCTAGCAGTGAAATCCAGGACGCGCGTTTCGTCCTATTTTGGGCTCGGCTGGATGTATCTGCAACCCAGAGTTGATGTTCACTTCGGGACTCGAAGCAAGTACCATTCACCTCAAACGCCATCATCTTATTCACTTTGCTGCTGAGTCCAGATAACCACTAGCTTGTGCAATGGGGTGAATTTTTAGTTCATTTTCTATTGTTTGTTTGAATCTCCTCATATTTATTTATGTATTTAAACACAAACATTGGTACAAGGAGGCACCAAATAGATATACACCACATAAATCAAATGATTTATGTGAGGACCAGGATACTCGGAAGCAGGTGGTTCTCTTAGGGGGCCACTCCCTGACCCTTCGACCTAGAGGTCTAATCCACAAGGCAGTGAGGCAACTTCAGGAGATGCAGTCCCATGGAACCCGGTGGCCAACGATTGGTTCATATGCCTTGTTTCCTCAGGACCCTGGAGCTTATGTGCACCATTAGTTTGGAATGAGGGTTTTTCAACTCCCCTAGGTGGATCTTCCGTGTCCACCAACTCGGTTAAAGCGCCGGACATTCGCTTTTCGTCCTCTCAATTTTGTAGGCAGCCCCGCCGCGAGAAGGCAGTGAACAGAACTTCTCTGTCAGTATTTGTATGCACGTGACCATGTGAGAGCATTTGGAAAGGGCGAGCTTACTCTCCCCACTCTCGACCGTACCAAGACATTTGGGGGCTTCCCATTAGTGTTTAGGACTGCAATTGATCAGTCTTATTGGTATATGTGCATCCCGTGCGGATTGCCTTGAATGTCGGAGTGACCATCAACTCTGGGATGCAGATACATCCGGCCGACAAGTCCCAAATAGGACGAAATGCACGTCCTGGATTTCACTTCTGGCCACCATCCATTTTTTCTTATAATGCTTGTGACTTAAGACAATATCGAGTCAATGCGCACAGGATATATATATGCAAATAAGAGACTGATCAATTGTGCTTAAGCCACTTTACATATTTAGTATTTGGGGATATCCGGGTCCCACTTCATTTTATGAATGTCAGCATGACTTTGGGTGAAAGTTTTAAAGTGCTTGGAGTTCTGAAGCTCCAGTAAGTCAGCTTGATTCGCATCTTTAGAGCACAACTGCTGGAATATTTTCAGAGATTTCTCCATGTTTGCTCTGAATTTATTATTCTAATGCAACTTCATTTTAGTTGGAATGGCTTCTAAGGGAAAACATAATTGTTTCAATTAGGTCATTACTTTGATGTCAGTTAAATGAATTGCTATATCAATAACCCAACATATGCTCATTCATTAGTTGGCTTTGAATCACATGTTTTATCTTAAGACTAGTAATGCTTTCCAGATGCTAAAACTGGAATGTAGTTCGAAATCGCAATCTCACCGAAACTTCATTACAGACTAATATATCTTGACTGCTGATATATTCTATGTAGCGGCGACATCTTAAGTATCACTAATTTCTTACTGTTTCCAAAGTTTTAAGTTTTTAGAATTAGTTATTACCGTATGTTGGTGTTGGACTTCTGATTCTCAGTTGTATAGAAAACTAAATCATCGTTTCAGAGGATTTGAGTTTCATTTACAAGTAGTCTCGATTTTCTACATGAATCGAACTTGTCTGAGAAATACAGCCATTTCTTGTAAATCCTTCGACGTTGATCCATATTTGTTTCACAATTAGGAATATTAGAATCATGTTTAGATATTATAAATCCAAGGAAACAATATCTCTGCCTCTGTAGTTATAAATAACTCCACAAATGTTTGGTTGGATGATATAAATTTTCTTGAACTAAAATTTATTGCCATTTTTTCCATTATATATTTCTGAGTAGATCCTCAGTGTCCTGATCGCATACTAGCTACAGGGATGGAGCTATTTCTTGTCACAGATCTCCATATTGACCCAGAAAGTTTAATCACTTTAATCCTAGCTTGGAAGTTTTCAGCAAAGACCCAAGGAGAATTTACTCGCGAGGAGTTTTTTCGTGGGTTCAGAGAGTTGGGGTAAGTTATCTGTATAATACTTCAGGTTAAAATGTTATGTCTTGGTCAAATTTAATGGAAATCACTGCTTACTTTCTAAACTTCATAGTCGAGTTAGAGACTAGTTTTCTTCAGTTGACTACTGTTAAAAATAAAGCTACCTACTATGCTTAATCCTATTTTAATGGATTATATCAAGATGGGATCACTAGGAATCATTACGAAATCTAGTTCTGTAACATTACGTGGTGCTATAACTGTTTCTCAGTATTAAGATCACGAACAGACGTAAGTCAAATAACCATTAGAAACCATGAGACACCAAAAACCTGTTTCGTTTTGGTGTGGAACTCCTCAACCGTGCACACCCATGACCCCACCAGGAATCGAACCTAGAGCCCCCAGGTCTCGCGGAAAGCATTTAAGCTTCAGGCCACTAACCTCCTAAGATCCAGTAGTCTGATATCTCAACAGAACACAACTGGGTGCAACTGATTATTATTTTAAATTAGTACATTTCATCTTCCCTTAATGAAAAAAACTAATAATAGGAAAACTAACACTGAAAATAATGATAGTCAATAATCAAAAGAAAAATAGACAGAAAATAGAAGACTTAAAGTAGTATGATATTTAAGGTTTTGAGTCTGTGTATTTAATCCATCATTCCCAATGATGTTAATTCATGACGTATAAATCCTTGTGAATTCCATCCGATAAATCCACAGTTACTTACATAACTTAGATGAAAACTCAATGGTTTTAGCGCTCAATCATATTTCTTGGTCTAGCCAGACGGTGACCCTTTTTTTATCTTAATCCTACCCTGTTTAGTAGATTGTTTAAACTGATATGGTAACTAGGCTCTCTTTCTATCCACCTCAATCAATGAAAGGTCACATTGACTGACTAACTTTAACTAACTAATGTATAATTGAAATTAAAATCACTCGTCTAGTAACAGATCTACCGCTCCGGAGTTTTTTTTTGAAAGAGTCCATGGTCAATTACCTGATCGTACTTCAATGGTGTCTACTCTTTCCGGCTATTGTAATACGCATTTAATGAGTGTTATAATCTGTGTTTCTTTGGACGGTTAATGACCCAGCTATACCTATTGCTTAGTATTCTCGGACACCGATTCACTCGACAAGTCCCCAAATCAGAACACGGTTGAACATGAAAAAGATTATATTCCAAATAGCAAGTCAGAAGCCAGTAGGAAGCACAATAGGGGAAAACGTCGGTATATTTATAGTTTTTACATAAGAAGATTCCAGAGTATTCTCCGACTATCGACTAGTGCTGATTGGATAAGAATCAGCCAATCAGCGTGCACCAAAACAATCATGCATTGAGCATGCTTTAATCTAGTCTATGTCCCGCTAACAATGAGTTAAGCCCCTTGAAGATAAATGCCAAATTATACCGTGTAGGTGGTATATCAACAATACATTTTAAATTAGTGCAATTACAGTTTCAAATTATTTAGCTTTTTGGTTATATTGCTATTTAATGAAGGCAAAGTTGTATTCTACTATCTAGTATTCCTTGGCCATAATACTTCAATTGAATTCGAAGTCAGAACAAAAAATTGCGAACGAACAATATTTATCCAAATTACTTGGATAAGAAAGATGCAATAGTCGTGTGGTATTTGCAGAAGAAATAGCCAGACCATTACTTTCAAGTGGACATAAATCCCATCTAATTGATTTGAGGAATAAAGATTTAGTGCTAGACAGTTCTAGTAAGAGTGCTGATCTATTCTTTTGGATCTCCAGGACCATATTATTAAATAATCCCCCATATTATTAAGATGCAGACAAGTTTTCTGGAGAAGCCTTTCAAGAAGATTTGACCAGGCAAACTGAAAAAATGTTGACTAAAAAAGGAAAACCAGTTAGACATGTCGTCCTGCTATTACAAGATTATATAGCCTCCAAAAAAGAATGTTCTTGTATGTTCTATGCAGGATAAGAATAACTTCGTATTATGCGACTATTAAAATAGCTGAGACTTTACGGTCGACTAGAAATTGTGTTACAAATATAGCAATTTAGAATTCTTAACGTTTTGACTCGACATATAGATGTAATTAGAAGACTTCATTTGTTTCAAACTAAGATCTAATTGTTGAGATACACAAATAATATACTTGCTGTACTCTTTATTCCTTTGTTTTAGGTGTGACTCAATCAGTTCCTTGCGTAATAAACTTCCTAGTCTATTAAGTGATATAGAAGACAAACAAAATTTTCGTTCTTTATACTTATTCACATTTGGTTTCGCTAATTTGGATAAACATGAAAGTAAATCACTAGGTAGGTAGACTCTTGTCTTCTATTCATTTAAGTAACTTCTTATGGTAGTTATTGTTAATGTTGTGTATTCGTTTCAAAATTTATTCATAGCGTCTCCCATTATATTAAAGATTTGAGCACTAAAAGTGATTAACCAAAAGGCACAAATTACTGGCTACCATCAGATTGTATTTCAAAATGTTTCTCTACTTTTCTGTAAACTAGTTCTTTTGGTTCGAGAATTGACCCTCCGAAAAATCATCTTCAGTTTAGCACCCGAATGCCCTAGTACGGTCGAGAGTAGGAAGAGTCAGCTCTCCTTTTCGAAATGCTGTCACATGATCACATGCGTACAGCCACTGCCTACGCCTGAACATCGATTACCACGACGCGCAGTGCTGACTAGTGTTGGAAATGGTTGGAAAAAAGTTAGGGACCGTCAAACCGAAACGTGCCATCAGTGCTTGAAGTCACTAACTTCTAGTCTTAGCCATGTTGGTAGATGCAAACTACTTGGTTGGGGTCCGCATGACTGTCGTAACCAATGGTTGGAGACTCTGGGTAACATGGCTCAGAATCGATCACAATGGCGTAGGTGTATATACATTTTGTCTTCCCTTAAACTATGAGATTTAAATTATTTCATATCTTTCTACGAAATAATTCTTTCTTTCTGCACTATATCCTCACATAAAATCCTTCCTTTATAGATTACACAATTGAGTTAACTGCTTCTATGAATCCGGTGCTCGTCTTGCTGTGCTATAGAGGTGTGGCAACTTGGACCGATGCATGTATATGCCTGGTTCTACGTTGTAACTGACTGACTGAGCCACTACCAGGGAAGTCCTACTCACTGCCTTCTCGCGGCGGGGCTGCTTACAAAATTGAGAGGACGAAAAGCGAATGTCCGGCGCTTTAACCGAGTTGGTGGACACGGAAGATCCACCTAGGGGAGTTGAAAAACCCTCATTCCAAACTAATGGTGCACATAAGCTCCAGGGTCCTGAGGAAACAAGGCATATGAACCAATCGTTGGCCACCGGGTTCCATGGGACTGCATCTCCTGAAGTTGCCTCACTGCCTTGTGGATTAGACCTCTAGGTCGAAGGGTCAGGGAGTGGCCCCCTAAGAGAACCACCTGCTTCCGAGTATCCTGGTCCTCACATAAATCATTTGATTTATGTGGTGTATATCTATTTGGTGCCTTCTTGTACCAATGTTTGTGTTTAAATACATAAATAAAAATTAGGTTCACATATTGTATCACATTTCTTATCCGGTTGATGATAATCGTTGAAGATAATGAATTTTTCATCATATGCTCTTAACCTCATAGATCAGAAAGCTAACATTTCATTATAAGTTAAGGTATTTTGTGTCACTTTAATCTTCTACTTCGCTTCTTAAGAATTTTATCCTTTAACTCGGCAGCTCGGCTCTGAAGGTTCTGTCAAATTTCGACTATTGTAAATCAATAAATGATCAAATTCCGAAACCACATGTGTCGCTTAAACTCTTTCTTCAACGTTCATACATTAATGTACATCGAATAACAAGCAGGTTTGGCTATGACTCTGTATAGGTCTCAATACCAAGTTTGGACTTGATAGTTCCAAAGAAATTGACCATTGGGTAGAAAGTTAATGATAAATATATTTTTGTGATATCCCAATGAGTAGAAATTTGTATTTCTGACGTTTCGTGACTTTACGTTAGTCACTTCTTCAAAGTAAATATTGTTTATTTATTTACTCGGGAAAAGTGACTTACATTAAGTTAGAAATACGTTCCAGTCATCGGAATATTACAAAAACATATTTACTATGTCTTATTCAGTGTTCACTATCACAACAACCTATACTCAAAATTCTAATCATGGACTACAAATTCATTTTTCATCTGTAGATAGGAAGATTATATTGCATATATGTGCTCATCCGGTAATCCTTGGGCATTGGTATCCCGTCCCACTGACCTCATTGTTGCCTGGAGCCTCAGAACAGAGGTAACATTTGATCCTCGCTAAAAGTCGTCTATATGTCCTTATGATAAGCTGTTCGATCTGTGTGAAAATTTGCGTATGTGATGTAGATTTCTCCTTTGGCCAATATTTCCTGCTAATATTTTTATTTCTATGTTATATTGTGAGCTACTCGTTATTTTTCTTTACTAATATCTTAAATTACAGTCCATCTGTAATTTATCCTAAGTATTTCAGCTTTTCATGCTACTCAAAATTTCACTCTTCCTTTCCAAACTACATTCTTTGAATTTTTCACTGTCTTTGATATCACTCTTATCCACATTTCTCTGATTTTCGTCCTACTGATTTAAACCTCACTATGTTAGGCCAACGCATATATACACTAGGACACTCGTTGTGTATAACTAACTTAAAGATTACTAACCAACCGTAAAACAGTTAAACTTACATCCGAATTTGTCCCATAGTAGTTGAAATATCTAATGCTTAAATCAGCAGTTTGTGAAATGATGGTTAAGGTAATCAACTTTAAACCACAAAGTTTTAAATTAGAACCACGTTTCACCTACTATTTTTGAACAACTAATTAGCATCACATTTAGTATGGCTCAATGCCAAGTATATAAGCCTCTACCTAGTGAATGGGTTAATCTAAATCAGTAAGCTACGATTATTTCCTTTTTTTAATTAAACTTCTTTACCAGTATTACTTCATTGTGCGTGTATTTGTTCATAGTTCTTCAGTACGCTATTCCCTACTGGGAAATTCTTCTACGTGGTCGATTTTGTCATTTATCCCTATGGTTTAAATTCCTTCAAGTAAGTCATTTCATAGACCAATACATTAATTGAACAGTTGTTAGATGTATTTAATTGACGGTAAATTAAAGCGAATTCTTTAAATTTTCACATTTTTTATCTACACTATTAGTGAATTGAAATATATATAAGTGGGACGTAATGCAACTTGCTTAATTCCCACTTTCCTAATGTCTAATTTGAGCAGTTGCTCATAGTATTTCCTAAAAGAATTCAGTTCACCGACCACAAAAGATACACGTTTTATGTGATGGCTAATATGAACACTAGATTCTCAAATCAAAGTAATGAGTTTCAGCATGAAATTAAAAGGTTGATAACCGAGTTACTCAATCATTTATCGACAACTGGAAGAGTTTCCAATATAATATTGGCTCTACCAACTAAATCCACATTGTTTATTAAAACATATTACCAGTACCTCGGCCTATATTGTAAGCAGGTCTTGCAGATATATTTCTTTTGTCTAACTACTTACTGATGCATTTTAAATGGTTTCGACTAACAAACTTTTTTTCTAGTTTATAACTTGTGTTACTGTTGAGTATGTATACATTCTCACCACTGAACAGCCAATTATATTGACTTATCGGTTTTTTTGTCTTGATATTTCTAGGAACATCATAAACGTCCAATTTCTAAGGACACATGGGACCTTCTTCTAGACTTTGTTGAAACAATTTATCCTGACATGTCTAATTACGATGAAGAAGGTATATAAAGATTATATTTATTTACGCATTTTTTTAAAAGATTTATATCGAGCACGGATACTTTAACAAAAAACTACCACTAACCAAATCAAAACTTTGGTAATAGGTAGTTGAATGAAAGTAATCATCAGAATATCGTGATCTAGCTTTCATACATTAACCATCAATACATCTTCGTTTCACTGAACACGTAGACACATTGCACGATACCACCAGTCGAGGAACATTACAGTCTTCTATTCCAGTAATGTTCGTAAATAAATACGAGCCCATGCACTAGGTTAAATAACTACACTTATTGTTATTGTTGTCAATACTTCACAAATGCCTATACTGAAGTCTGCATGAAGCAGAGTCCCTAACTCAATTGACTAAGTGCATGTATCTAGCCCGTCGCTCCATCCGGGCTGCTCCACATCTATATTCTGATAATGAGCTAAACTCTTATTTATTAAATGCCAGGATTAAAACTGATTGCGGAACAAAAGAATAGAATGAGGATTTGAGTAAGAATATTTGAATGTGTGGCAAATTACGTAATGTTTGAAACTTCTTGATAGTATGATACAGTGTAGTAAAATTGTACTTGATTGATCCAATGATATCTTTATGGTGCTTGATTCGTCTCATATCTATATTCATTTTCCTTGGTAAGAATCATTTCCTGTTTTATAGTTGCTTTTCACTTCAAAAATTATCTTTTACCTACAGGTGCTTGGCCAGTACTGATTGATGAATTCGTCGAATGGGCAAAGCCTCAAGTTCAGATGGATATTCCACTAACAAACCACCCATGATCTTATCATGTAATTTCGGGATGATACTTATTCTTTTTGAAATATGCAGCTATGTTAACCTCACATTATTTTCAGTTAGAACATTTGTAAAGCTCGTCTTATCTTTCTTCTACAACTATCTTTCTCTTCAGGTTTTCTCCCTATCTTTGCAAATTATTTAGTTACGAATAAACTCTCACTTTCAATGTGTAGTCTGTTTGTGTATTCAGTCATGGTTCTCTCGAAAATTTTATTGGCAATTAGCACCGGTGAATTGAGGTAAATTCACATCGAAATCTATGTGAGACCAGTCTCAGTCCAATTAACCGTATGCTACATCACTTTACTTCATATTTCGTACATTATTCAGAATTTCGAGTCAATATTTTGTTGTCTTTCTTTTAAAGGTGTTCAGTTATTGGCTAAAAGATCAGTATATTAAACAACATACACTTAAGAATATTATTCTTTGTCGTTTGCTTTGTTAAACTTCCAGAAAGATTAGTACTTCACATATGTACCTAGTATACTTAGCACTTTGTTTTTCTACAATGCTGTAGGTTATTCTATCAAACTACAGTGTTAGTGCCAACTAATATTTCAATCTGTTGATGTACGCCTCATCCCTACATCACCTCCTATCCAGGTTATTTTTCCAGTGCACATGTCCCCAAAATTTCTTGTCTTGGCATCTAACATGTAAACTGTATAAATTTTGTTCAAATATATATTATATTCTTATAAACAATTTTTATATCACCTTCACTGTTGTTCTATTTACCACCACATTCCTATTTGGTCTAACAGCCGGACTTCTCAGTTCGTTTACCTAATCATAGTGAACAGGTAAAACCTCGACTTAGCGAACATCGTTGAATGCATAAAGACTGAAATGGGTATTATATGGCAACACTAGTCAATAAAATATATACATCTATTTTTGAACTATAGATATAGGATGATGGTAATTGAGAAATGTGTGCTCGGGTTTGATCTATACAAACGACTGTTTGTTTCAGCTACCGTCTGCAAGAATCTTGTTCTAGTACTTACTTACTTACGCCTGTTACCCCTAATGGAACATAGGCTACTGACCAGGATTCTCTAACTCTCTTCCCGACTACTATTCATTCTTTTGCTGCCTGTCTTCTATGCTTTGGTCTTCCTTTTTTCCCTTCGCTTTGAGGATTCCAGGTTAGTGCTTGCCTTGTGTTGCAGTTTGATTTCCGTAATGTATGTCCTATTTACCTCCAGCGTCGTCCTAATTTCCTCTTCAACTGTAATCCTGTTTGTTCTCTGTCACAGTAGGTTGTTGCTGATGGTGTCTGACCAACGAACCTGCATTGTCTTGCGTAGGCAGTTTATAAATGCTTGTGCTTTCTTGATGATGATTGTAGTTCTCCAAGCTTCAGCTCCGTACAATAGAACTGTGTAGAAATTCGTATTGAAGACTCTAACACTGATTTTGGCTGACAGCTGTTTTGAGTTCCAGATATTCTTTAGTTGTAAGGATTCTGTCCTTGTGCCGGTCCGTGCATTCACATCTGCATCAGATCCATTTTGTTTATCAATGTTATTGTCTAGGTACTTAGGACTTTCCGTGTTGTGTTTGAGGATCTTGCTTCTTCTTTTGTGTATGTTGAAGGCTACTGCTGCTACACTGGATGTCACCGCCTGGATTTATTGGTGTGTATGAGATAGAAGAGCTAGGTAATCTGAGAAGTCCAAACCGTTCAGTTGTATGCAAGCTGTCAAATGTATTCCATGCTTCTCCTGAGATGTAGAGGTCTTCAGTCAACCACCAGAAGAAAGAGGAAGGGTAAACAGCCTTGTCCGACACCGGTCCTCACTTGTGATGCAGCTGTCCTTTATGCACGACTTTGCATTGTAGTCCGTCGAATGAGTTTCGTCGGATATTGACGATCTCAGGTACACCATAGTGTCGAAGTCGCCATGAAGTCCTGTCCACGCTGTCAAATGCTTTCTCATAGTCAAGGAGGTTGATGTATAGTGACGACTTCCATTCAATTGATTGTTCAACAATGATTCGTAGTGTGACAATTTGATCTGTGCACGGCCTGTTGATCTCGAAGTTAGACGTCTACTGCGTCTTCCATCCGATCTAGCAACACTTGTTGAAAACTTCTGGTACTGACAGTAGTGTGATACCTCAGCAATTCTCACATTTGTTCAGATATCCTTTATTTGGTATCTTGATGAGGTATCCTTCTTAACAGTCTGTCGGCGATTAACCTCCCTCGCAAAGCCTTCTGAAGAGAATGTGGAGTGTCTTTGCAGTTATCTCTATGTCCGACTTAAATGCTTCAGTTGGTATATTGTCTGGTCCCACTGCTTCTCCACCCTTGATTTTTCTGATGGCCATCCTGATTTCTTACATCGTTGGTGGAGTGACACCTATAAGAATGTCTAAGTGTGTTGCTTCGGTTTGTAGTGGGTTCAGTAGGGCTGGTCTGTCCAATAGTTTCTTCAACGTTTTCCACCTACCTGTTCCTCTGTTCTTGAATTTCAGTGACTGTCTTGCCATCTCTGTCCTTGATCGGTCTCTCTGGTCTACCATATTTCCCTGCTAGCTTCTTCATTGTTTCAAATTTCCTTCTCTTGCAGCTTTTCTCGCTGTCGTTGCTAGGTCTTCCATATATTTTTTCTTGTCAGTTATAATGCTCCTCTTCACTTGCTCGTTTGCTTCTGTGTATTCAACTTGTGCCTTGACATTCTCTGTTCTTGTTCGACTGTTAATTGCTGTTTTCTTGTTCTTCCTTCCCTGGATCTTGTCCAGGGTTTCCATAGAGATCCATTCTTCATCATGATGCTTCTTGCGACCCAGAACCTCCTCACACGTTGAAGTTAGTACTTCTTTGATCCCTTCCCAGTTCTACATAGTAACGTCTTTCAGTAAATCTTGTAAGGCTTGGGACCTGTTGTTGAGAGCTATCTTGAATTCGTTTAGTTTGTCAGTATCTCGAAGGAAAGCTGTACTAAAGCTCTTTAATGCTGTTTCTCCAGTTGTCCTGTGCTTCCTCAGCTTCAGTTTCATCTTGGTCACTACCAACTGGTGGTCTGACTATATCAGCTCCTCTCTTTGTTCTCATATCCTTTCTTATAGTAGCTGCATAAGTGCTTGTGGAGGTGCGAGTGATGAGATCAATGCACGAATAGTGAAAGCCAGAGCGGCTTATGCCAATCTGGACCACCTTTGGCGCCTTCATGATGTTAGTCTGGTTGTAAAAGGTCGGACCTACAACGCGTCGGTGAGAGCAGTTTTGCTCTATGCTTGTGAAACCTGGCCTCTCCAAGTTGAGGACGTTAGAAGACTCTGTGTTCGATCATCGCTGTCTCCGAAGGATTGCTGACATCCAGTGGCAACACCATGTCAGTAATGCAGAGGTTCGGCATCGTGTGTTCGGGCACAGAGATGATAATGCAATCGAAGTCACCATCTTGAAACACCGACTTCGGTGGCTTGGACGTGTTCTACGAATGTCATCCCAGAGAATTCCACGTCGTGCATTATTTGCCGACGCTGGGACTGGTTGGAAAAAGCGGAGAGGTGGTCATTGTATGACATGGTGTCGTAGTATGAAAGAAAGTTGCAAAGGACTGGCTTGTGTCGGTCCTTCACGACTCCCTCGTTGGGGTCCGAGAGATGGTGCTACACAGTGGCTAGAGACGTTATCAGATATGGCTCAGAATAGAAGCCAGTGGCGATCCTGCTGTAACCTTCTTTTACTTTCTTCATAGAGTGGTTGTGTCTTCCTTAACTGAAAGATTTCTTCTGATTGTACCTTTCCGTTCCCTCATTATTATTATTACTACACTACCTTACACCAACCCCTTCGTTATTGTTCTCTTTTTTTTACGCTCCTTACCTTTTTTCCTTTCTCTTCGATTTCTCATTGTTTTGTGTGGCGCATATATATTTGGCGCTCTCTTGTACCAATATTTATGTGTTCAAATAAATAAATATAGCGTCCCATGATACCTTCATGTCTGGTCTTGTCTTTTCCGACTTTGGCGTTTAAGTCTCCCATTAGGATGGTCAGTTCCTTTCCTGGGTCTTCTCTGACTGACTGCAGCTTCATAAAACCGATCTTTATCGTTTTGCTTGCTAACATTGGTGGTCTCATATCACTGGACAACATTCATCGTAATCCCCTGTTTTGAAAGATGCTTTGATGATCCCGGATCTATAAGATTCACAGTTGACTGATCACTGGATGGTGATCAATGTCATGTGTGTCAGGTCCTTCTTTGTGCAGATTGAATCCTATCGATGTGGCCATCAGTCTAGGTGAATTAGCATTTCATGCATTATGCGAAGAGACGTTACCATTGTGCATTAAGAAGAGCTTGACACACATGACATTGATCACCACCTAGTGATCAGTCAATTGTGAATATATCTCAATTCTACAGGAGGTCAGTCGTGGCCCGGACAGCCCAGTAGTAAAGTCTCTGCCTGTGAAGCCGGATGACACGGCATCGAACCCGTCAGGGAGCATCAGTCCCCTCAATATTACAGGTACATCTTGCTGACGGGCGCCAAACATCACGGAACCCGGGCTCAGGGTTTTTTGTTGACTACCTCTAACCACCATCTTATCTACGAGATTCGTGTTTCTTGTGTGTGAAGCATTTTCTTACTTATGGCCAGAGTACAACGGCACCTTTCCCGAAGCTAATCCTTTCTGTCCAGCTTAGGTCCGATGGGTTTTTGCGCACCGCCTATTTGTATCTCATCTCCGTAGCTATTAGACTGGTCTCCCATATTGTCCAGACATTCGATGTGTCTACATTAATTGTTGCTCTGGTTGTTAGAAGGGTCATCGGCCTCGTGATTTTCAAAGAATCTCGGCTTTCACCATAAGGTATCAGAATTCTAAATAAAGATCCTTCGACTCCCGGGGCGGACTTTAAATGGTGTTAATGATTTTCTCCTCCCTTATCCCGGCTTGAGACCGGCAGAAACCCTACAAGGACTACGTGCGGAGTTTGTCCCAATACAGTTTAATTGTATTTATTGACCCGAAAGTATCATAGTCAGAATATCAGTTATATGCTTTTGAACTTTATTTTAAAAGCTGCAATGTTTATGAATAAAGAAGTATCTTCTTACGATGTTAGGTTTCAAGATACCCATACTTAGGAAATTCTGTCAGTTGATTAATTGCAATACACTTAGTCCCTGTAATCACTTTACACTAATTTGTCATAGTATTAAGATAATAGTCATTTGGTCAATAAAACAGTTTCCCTGTTTTATTGCATTAAGGGTTTGTCCTGATCTCCATATCAAAATGAGTTGTGTATTTCACAGATTTACCTCTTGTGATATTGTTGTCGTTAATGATCTTCAAATATATATGTTTGAGTGCTTACCTACAACTTAGCTTAATGGACACGGTTTAAATATGTTCTGTCAACTTATATACATCTACACCAAAATAATACTGATGTTCTAAATTATAGACGGATGCAAACTAAGTTAACTATCCTTTTACTGGCCTTTGGCAAGTATTAACTCGCATATACCGAGAAAGGACCATGGAAAATATACAAATCGACGTAAAAGCAGCCACAGATGTTTATAAGAATAATCTCTATCTGTGTAGGAGTGATTTGCAAAGGGATAAAACTGGTGGGAAGTATACTCTGTCGCCATCTCTTTTTATTTCCCATCACCAACCCCCGGTTTCTATTATCTTAGTGGTCTTAACCAGGAC